ATATTTTGCAAAAGGAAAGTTCTTTTAATATATTAAAACATGTACTAATAGAATGCTTTTTAAAAGTTAACATGGAGAAACTCTAGCTATAGCAAGTTATTAAGTTATCTCCCATCTCATTTGTATCCAGAGGGTTCATAGGTGGTGTACCTAAGATTTTAAAACTTGGTCTAATGTATTCTGAGAAAAGCATTTAATAATCATTGTTCAGCATGAACACACCCTCACCTAAGCAGCTTCACAACTTTCAGTGGTGCTTTGCTTTCAGAAAGAAAAATTAAAATAGGATAGTTCTGTGTTCAAAATAAGAAAGATTTGATCCCTGTCTTTGCTTATTGGGTCTGGTAGGTTACAGGCAGCATGAGCACTAGCTTTTCTGGTCTCAGTTTGACCATGAACTTTCAATATTCTGCAAGGAGTGCAGTGTTCAGAATAAAATCACTTATCTTGTTGTATTTGTACAGGTACCATACCAAGTTCTGCAGAGAATAATATTTACAGAAGGATAATAGTAATGGTTTTTTAAGTAAACAGCTAAATAAATCTCCCACTTTCTATTGTTTTCAGGGCTAGCTTGGTCATTAACTTCTTGTATTGCATATTCAGACCAGATAAAAATCATTCTATGTTAACATTTCATCCACAAAATGAAGATTTTCAAGTATGTAATATCCATAATCATCGAGATAATATCCTAGTTCTGAATATCTATTTTAAGTCATAATCTGAGGTGGAAAAGAAAATGTTTAAATGAAAATTTGAAACCAGCAAACTGACTAGTACTCCTAAAAAAACCTTTAAAAAAATCTTAAAATTATGCGTAACAGTGTGTATGAGATTGATAATTAGGTATACTTGAAATATCTGTTAAGGAAGCCTATATTATATTTGTAATAACCTACACTTACTGGGCATCTACTATGTCCTAGGTATGTTGTAAGCAGAAATATACATGAATACACAGTAAATGTAAATTTATAGTTATCAACAAAATTCGAGAGGCTGGTCATGATCACTGGTAAAAATAAGTGGTTTATGGTTTAGGTAAAGTGTGTATGGTTAAAAAAAAAGAATTAAGAAAATAAGTTTGGATAAAATTGAGTGTGGAAATTCATGATGGCAGAAGCACAGTGGGAAACCTTCAGAAGAGGCCAGGCAGCAGGAACAGAGGAGAGAAGTGACTGCACAAGCACACCATTGAGAGGAAGGGTGTGAAGGAAGGTGGTATCACATTGCAATAGCATATGAACTCCCTCTGGCTATATTTAAGAAAGAATTAAAACTTAAAAAAAAATTTAAATGTCAAAGCATTTGAGATCTCGCTTCCCAACGTGTCATCAGTTTGGCTCAAACTCTTATAAAAATAAAAAAAAATTAAATGTCAATATTTACTTTGTGACAAAAATTTCATCTTTGCTAACCATTTAAGCTTAAAATGGAAAAGTTTAGAAGTCAATTTAATGTTTGAAGGAATGCAAAATTTTCCAGAATTATTTGGGATAATACAGACAAGTAAGAGTGAAGGCTGATCTAACAGTTAGCCTTTAGTTTCACTTCTGATTTTAAAATTCTGTGATTCAAGATATAGTTACTTAAAATACATAAACAAACTTACTTACTAGTTGAAAATGTATATCTTTCATTTTCTTCTTTGAACTTGTATTTTATTATATTTTTCTAGTAAACTTTTACTTTAATACAATATACTTTTGTACCTCTGAAAGTCTTTTTTAGGGGATCATGTATCATATCTCTCTGAAACAAAAAAACAGCAGTGTAAATTACAATTTAATGATTTTTATTTTTTTGGCCATGACATTCAGTGTTAAAAATTATTTCTAGATTGAGTTTTATGAAAATTATTATTACCCAATTGTCCAAAACAACATATTGTAAGTTTTGGTAAATACTCATTAAATCTAAAAATTAAAATATTATTTTAAATGAATAGCTGAATAATAAGAATAGCTTATTTGCTCTTGTGTGGGGGCAACTTTGCCTACAAAATACCTCCGTCTGCCACAGATGAAAGTCAAACTACCAAGACATGATCTGCTTAAGGAGGAAAGGTGGCCAATCTCTCAAAGAAGAAGGGCCAAGAGCCCCTTCCTCAAGGGGCTTTTATTGGGTTCGTTTTTCACAAGAATACAGGTAAGGATCAAACAATAGATATCATTCAAAGAACAATGAGGGCTTATTCTCAGGGTCAGATAGCTAAAGAGCCATAAAACTTGGAGGAACAAACTTCTTGCTTGGACCCTTATCATTTAAATGAGAGCATTCTAAGCAAAGCAGGTTTTACAGGATTTTACATATTCTTTCTTAGGCCTGATCACCCCAGATCCCAGTCTAGCTGGCAAGGGGCTGCACCACCTCCCCCATGATAGGTAGTTAGGCTTAAGTGGATTAGAGCCAGGAAGAGCTTCTCCCAGACAGAAATGGGGACTTGGGCTATGTCAGAATAGCCAGGGGGCAAAGGTTTGTCACTCCCTCTTTGTTGCAGCCCCCTGAGTCCTTCCATGATGGCCTCCCAAGTGATCGTGTCAGGCTTAGGTTGCCCCCCCCCCCCCCCGCCCGGCCCCAGGACTCTTACCCATCAGAGACTAACTGACCAAGCAATGGGGGCAGGGAATGAAGCAGAAGCAGTGTTATTGCCAGAGATAAGCTTTGTTTCCTTAGTGGCTTGCACTCCGGAGGTTGCTCACTCAGCCTTAACCATGGGGGGCAATTACAACTCCTGAAACGAGGCAGAGCGGTTCCCAACACTCTTGGATAAATATTAGCTATTATTTGATTGAAGCAAAATTCAGCATCAGTTATATTTATATTTCTAAGATTATTTTTAAATCACTTTTTAAGTTTTCAATTACATTTGACATGCAAAATTATATTAGTTTCAGGTGTGCAGTGATTAGGTGTTACATAATTTACCAATTGATCATCCTGGTAAATCTCATATCCATCTGGCCCCATACACAGTTATTAAAATATTGTTGACTATATTCACTATGTGGTACTTGACATCCCCATGACTATTCTGTAACACCAATTTGTACTTCTTAATCCCTCTGCCTTCTTCACCCATCTCCCTAGGCTCCTTCTTATCTGACAACCATCAAAATATCCTCTCTCTCTCTATGATTCTCTTTCTGTTCTGCTTGCTTATTTATTTTGTTTGTAAGATTCAGTTGTTGAAAGATAGGTATTTATTGTCACTTTATTATTCATATATTTTATCTCTTTTTCTTCTTAAAGAAGACCCTGTGATATTTCATATACTGATTTGGTGGTGATGAACTCCTTTAACATTTACTTGTTTGGGAAGCTCTTTGTATGTCCTTATTTTCTAAATGATAGCTTTGACGGGTAGAGCAATCTTGCTTGTAGATCCTTGCTTTTCACCACCTTGAATATTTCTTGACAATTATATTTATATCTTTATAATAAAATGTATATCTAAGCACTAACATTGCATCATCGTACATAAAAAGATAGAAAGGAAAGGGGTTTTAGTATACCAATATCACTCAATTCTTTGAACTCCTTTCAAGTACATGCCAAAATTAGGTTTGGTGATCTATCATCAAAAATGTATTTACTAATCTATCAGCTGACAATTCAATTTGGTTCCCTTCAATTTGGATCCTGACTTGCAGAGATATTTGTCGTCCTGTCACTACAGTCATTTTCTTCCTCAATTTATAGGAAATATACCAGAGTCCTTCCTGATATGTATTCAATAACCATTATTTAATTCTGGTACACATTAATCAATAAACAGTTTTGTTGAAATGATTTCTTTTATGTACTTTAAACATACTATTGCAAAAATCTCAGAACTACAGAATTAGCTAATTTGTGTAAAGTGTTTATTTTACTTATTTGGCAAAGCCAGATCTCACATCAGACCCATCAGCCAATCAGATTTACTGTCTCTCACAAAAAAGTGACTTCATCTCTTAATTCCATGCATCAGTATGTGCATTTATGAAATCCTCTCAAATCTATGTTCTAATGGTAGCAGAGATAGTCACAGCATTGACCCCTGCCAAGACTTTATTTCCTGGATGGAGTAAAGCAATTTTGAAGTTGAAATGTGTAAGTGATAGGAATCTTGGGTAAAAATGTCTTGTGATGCATAAAAAATAAGTAGAGATATATCAATCCCAGTCAAGCATAGCTCTAGATTTTGTACAAGCTCAGCTCCAAAAGTTGGTGCGAGAAGTAGGTAGGGAGAGAGAAGTCCATCACAAAATGAGCCACTCTTAACGAAGGATTAGGTCTTCTAGAAATGAAAACTGAAAATCGCACAGTAAAACTCCTAATGGTTCTTAGGAGAAAAGTAAAGGAGAGACAACCAAAAAAAATCAATGACACTTCACAGACAATGCTGTGATGAATTCAGGTTCTGAAGGACCTACAAATGGAATGAGAAGGGCAATGCCACATGCCTGTAAGAGAGTGGCAGAAGCCCGGAAAAATATGAAAACCGGAAGAAGGCTAGAATAGTAGAGAACTAGAAAGGACTGCAATAGAGGGCAGGGGGCAAAGACAAGGGAGAAACTAGCCAAGGGTTTCCCAGGATTCTGTACTACTGGAGATGATTCATACTCAACTACCTTTCTTTCATATTCAAGATGAAGAAATTGGCTTTCTGATTAAAAAAAGTAAAATTAGAGTCTAAAATATGGGATACAACAGTAAAAGGCACTAATTTCTTTTACATAAAATCAACTTAATTTCAATAAATTAGTCTACAGTTTATTGTAAGGACTTACAAACAGTTGTAAAAACTTCATGGTGAACTTTAAGAAATCGTGATTAGCTTTGAGGCATCATGCACAGAGAGAACTATATTCTCTAAAAAAGTGTATGAGTAAGTTCTAATAATTGGGTGATTCTATACTTACATGTCAATGTTAAAACTTTTCTAGAACTAAAAGCTGTAATAAATAGTTGACTTTCTGTCTTACAAAAATACCTTTTGTATCTCTCTCTCCCTGGGACCAGCCTGAATCTCTAGGTGAAAACCACATGGAACCAGATCTCAATTTAAGGTGAGTTGAATTTTATCAAAATCTATAGTGGCCCCAACATGCACCATCATCATGATTGGCATGTTCTGAATGTCCACAGCAGATAGGCATTGAAGCAGGGTCAGTATTGTCTTGAAGGGGAATTGAGGGGGTTGTTTTTGTGTGGGACTGGGTTTAGGTGATCTCAAATTTCTGTCCCAATTCTTAGTTCCTGGAGCTCTGTTTATTTGTCTTGGGTGAATTTGTGCTTTCTTTGACTGCTCTCTAGGTTGTCCCATTAGAACTTAGTAGAGGACAGTGTGAGAGAGCAGGTCTGGAAAATTGTGGAAGCACACATGTGTGCATCGTTGATGAGTGTAGGGGCAGAGAAGGAATTGCTCTCTACAGAGAGGGCTGTCTGGATTATCAGCACGATCCAGAGGAAGACTCATGGGAGGTGAATCCGCTGGTATTAATATTTATCCACCTCACATACAATCTCTGAAAAGCCCTTGCCCTTCATATGGATTAGGAGGCCCAGGAGAGTGTGAGAAGTACATGGATCATTGACAGAACCTTTTTTGTTTGCTGCTATTGTGTCTGCCCCTCACATCCACTGAAAAGCCAGTTATGTGTTTTATTGATCATTCCTCTAGCAGAGAGACCTGTATTGTCCTCACCACCATCATGCACATGGCCTTCAGTTTCTGCCTTGTGACAAAAGATGAGCTATGTTACTTCCCTCAACACTCTGAATGTATGCATTTCTAAGATTTGATCAGTTTTCCACGGTAAAAATTATTTGAAAATTGAAGGCCTTGTTAAAAACACCTATGGAGTTGCTTACAAGGTAGCTCTGAGGGGTGTGTGTGTGTGTGTGCGTGTGTGTCTGTGTTGAGATGAATGTCCTGGGCATATACTAAAGTGAAGCTGAATTTTTTTTGTCTGTGACAGACCCTATTCAGCAATCTTATAGCTTCCTTTATTTATAAACCAGACACTTCAGCTGTTTTATTAAAGACTGGATATGAAAGCTGAAGTGCTTTACCAACACAAACATCAAAAAGACCTAAGTGTACTTTTCCTCGTGTGTTTCAGATAGTTTTTCTCTTCATGGCTGATAGCAGTCAGAGAGAGTGCTAGAATGTAATAATACCTCACACCTTGAAGATTAAACACCTTCTCAGCTAGTGTTTCTGTTGCGACTTTGTTTCTTGCCACCTTCTATCGTAAGTACCTTGTACCATGTCATGTACACTCTTGGTTCAGTTTGAGCAATGAGACTATATTTTTCAAAAGCATTTTTTCTTCAAATAAGTAGACTCTGCCTTGTCTCTGATGTGAGCTTAGTTGCTGAATGAATAGCTTTGTTGGACAGTGAGATAAGAATATAATAGAGTCTATAATAACGATGCCAATCACGAATGGCAGGAAGGCTGTTATTCTTGGACTGCTGTATTTGTAAATCATGCTAGATTTCCCATGGCTTAATCTAAAAATGCCACCTTGTCAGTGGTAGAGGCTTACATTTTGAGTTCCTAAGAAAAAAAATATTTTATAAAGAACATCCTGCTCTTCTTTACTGTGTAATAAATAGGTTCCAGGGAAAACTCATATTGTCTAAGGAATTACCCAGGTGGGCTTTCCACTTCTGCACCTAATCCTGCAGGAGTCAGATGGTTTTCATGGTCACGTGTATGTAAAATGATTCTTATTTGGATTGAAGGTTGTTTATTATTATTATTATTTATACTATTTTATTATTATTATTATTATTAGTTATTTTGCTTTAGTGTTCTTTTTGCTTGAATTGCAAGCACCTGTTCTGAAATGTGCTAGCAGTGTGGGTTTGGCAGCTCTGTGGCCAGGGGCAGAGACTCTGTGGGCTCGTGGCTGTTAGAGAGAACAGGCCGTTTGGAGGACCAGGTAGAGGTTAGGAATCAGCTCTTAGAAACAGAAGGACTTGCAGTTGGGTGTTGCAATTAAAAAAAGCAAGTGTTTCCAAACTTTCCACACTTCTTCATGGAATGGATGTTTTTAAGGGTAAAACACCAAGGTAGAGAAAAATAAATTAGATGTTGTGTTCCATTGCTTTATACTTTCTGAGATGTTTTATTATTTGTCTTGAGAAAGTGGCTTCTCATAGTTTGGTTTAAAATGATTCTACTTTCATATTCCTTCTCTATACATGCCAATGCTTAAAAAACAGAACGATTATCACTGTGTAGCTATGATAGCACAGGGACTGTGGACTGCTCCTCTCTAAGGAAAGGACCTATTTCAAAGCATGTTCTTCTGTAAGGACTGACTGTGAGTTTAGAAATCTAAAAATCAGAAATGCTAGGCAATATTTTATAGTAACCACTTGAATGAGTAAATATTTAGAGGGACACTTTAGGGAAATTATAAGGAAATAATAGGAAAATTCAAATTTAGAAAGAACATCATATTGTTTCACTCAATCATTGCAGTTGAAAGATAAGAAAAATGAGGCTCTGAGGAACTGAAAATTGTCTTACAAGTTTTTGTTGTATAAGCTGGCTGTGAAATCCTGTTCTCCTGAACATCATTTTTGTATTCAAGCTCTCATGAACATGTTTGGTACCTCCTGTAACGGAACTATTCAGAACCAAATTTAGCTATTTTGTAATAGATACAAGATTTTTTACAATGCAGAAATTATAATCATAAATTGTCAGTTGTGATGAAGTAGCAAAAAAAATTAGGACCACTTTCTTTCATGAAGGAAAAAAAGTTCTAAGAGGTTAAACTCATTTGAAAGAATAACATGTTATAAAGTGATTTATTGTATATCATATATTTTAATTATAAAACACTTTCACAGATTTTTCTTTGTGTGTGCTCTTTACAAAAACTTGTGAAGTGAGCGGCAATTAACTGTATTTTGTAGATAAGAATTGGGAATCTCAAAATGCAACAGACATGTGTGAGATGGCAGGGCCGGGTCGGAGCCCCAGGGGCCCTGAGGCCCAGTCCCACTGCTCTTGTCCTTGCAGCTTTTGCTCTTTAATGGCTAACTGGCACAGCCTTCTTTGCCTCCTGTTATTATTTCTCAAATTTCATTTCACTTCTGGTAATAACGATGGGAATTTTAAAAAACCGGAGCGATTATAGTCGGGAATTTTCAAAATAATGCTGCAACTAAGGAAGCACACCTAGAGATGCTATTAAGGGGGGTGCGCCTGGTGTTCTGCTGGCAGCCAGGATGGGCAGAGGGGGGCATGCTGAAGGCTCTGACTGGCTCTCAGGAGCCGACTGGTTAATCTGAGGCAATTTGGCTATTTATTAAACTGCCATTATTGAAAATTAATTTATGTAAACTTATAATCGAACACAATATTAAAAACTAATGCTAAATGTTTAAGACTTGTTACTTTTTAATTACTAGTGTCTAAGCTTTTGATGTTATTTACATCTATAACATTTGAAGGGTGGAAATACTGTGTAATGTTATCCGCATTGTTGGCTTTGAATCAATCATGATGGAAGTACACCGTGAAAATTACAAGCGCTACAAATTCTTGTTTTGTTCATTGCATACACTTAAAAATGATGGAGAAAATATTAAATTTTAAATTGTTTTATGTCTGTAGCTGTTACATTGTGAATGGCACATACATTTGAGAAAATATTCTTCTGGTATTTTAAAACTATTATCTGATTCAGCAAAGAAATTGCTCGTGTCATTGAACATGGAATGAAGTCTGACATACTTTTGTCCTGTTAGCTTTACCTTGTAGATTCATTCCATAATGTGAAAGAAAGTATCAGCCAACACTGGTGATGGAGCTACACTCATTTATTAGCGACTCAAGTAACTTCTTTTTGAGTCAGATTGCAATCAAGCATTTATACATAGTTCAATTTTGTAGAACTGTTGTTGGGACAGAATAAAAAGAAACTGATGGCGGATTTTATAAGACATAGCAGGTCACCCTGAAATCAGTGGAATGGAATTTACAGTGACGATTATTATATATTTTACTTTTTTGTAAATTGCATGTTAGATGCTCTTAGAGCAGTGACATTTATAATAAACTTCTTTTTTCTTGGAGATCCAGCTGTTAAATTCTCACCAGAACACCATAGGATTAAGGGCATGATGTGTACTCTTAGCAATGAGAAGGATACCAGAAAAATCCATGATTGTTCCTTTGGAATTCTCTAAACATGGAGTACTAAGTATAAATAATTATATCAGTTTTCTTATTTGTACTTCTTTAAAAAAAGATTTTATTTACTTATTTTTTAGAGAGCAAAAGATAGGGAGAAAGAGAGAGAGAGGAACATCAATGTGTGGTTGCCTTTTGTGCCCCCCCTGCTGAGGATCTGGGCCACAACCCAGGCATGTGCCTTGACTGGGACTCCAACCCTTCGATTTCCCTGCTGGCACTCAATCCACTGAGCCACACTAGCCAGGGTGATATCAGTTTGATGCAACAGACCTCTATGAACTCTTCCTGTAGTATGGGAAGGGTTTCTTTTTTATTTGTGAGGAGTCTCAGCTTCTAATGCCGGAATGTGTTTTACATTGTGAAAAGTCACCAACTTACACAGATGAATGGAGGACCAAAAAAACCTCTCATTTGTAGGTAAGCTTGCGGTGTTGGCCTCAGTATTCTATCTCAACACTATCTGTTATTTCACTTTCCTAGTACCCAGTACCTAGAACAATGATGCTACCCTCTGAAATGAAACTCTATAGCTCTGGTGTATCTTTGGATATACAGAGCTTCATTTCATTAATGTGACTTCTCCAGATTCAATCATAATTTACGTATCTTTCATTCTATCCCCTCGGGCTCTGCATTATATCTTGCTACTGTAATAATATTCTCCGAGCAGTTACTACCATCCTCTCTCCAAGTAATATATTCACATTAACACTTCTCATTCTCTGGTTGTGCTTTAACCCCAATTGAGAATTCATTGTTTGGGATTCTAAACCTTGTGGTTTAATGGTAGTGGTGGTAAATATTCAATAAACAATTGTGTTTTCATTGATTGATAGTCCACCCTTCTAGATTCCTTCAATCATGCCCCTTCCAATATCTCCTGTACTGAAGGCCAAATTAGTCCTATGATTCCTTCTCCCTTTTATTGAGTTTTGGATTAAAATTAACTTATGCAAAATCTAGAATCACATATTGATTATCTACTGGTTTTTGGTAAAGCTACTGTGAGTTTTAGATCTGATTTGCTTTGCCATTAATATAGCCTTTGTTGGTTTTTATTTGAAATTAAGCTTGTACTTTAGTTAATCACATTTAAGTTCCATTTGTAAAGGCCTTGATGAGACAGCAGAAATGTCAAGAGAGAAGAAGAAATCATGAGGTGTCATGGTCTTTTGACTTCCAGTTGCAGAGGGGAGGTTAGTTATAGGTCAAAGCTAATGAAGGGAAGTTTTGTGGTCATAAGTAGCTTGCTCAGGTAATAACAGACTGAGAATCATACTGAGAATACATTCTTCCGTTTAACCCTTCTGTGGCTACTATTTGACTTAAATAGGAACATTAGGGTGTTACATGTATTTAATATATGAGATAGTAAGTGAATAGGAGGAGCATCACAGAGAGAGGTGAGTAATCAGGAAGCTTGGCTTTAATCCTGGATCTATCTCCTTAGGAAACTTAATTAATCTCTCTTAATCTCAATTGTATTATTTGTAAAATTTGAGATTGTTTTTAAGGTACTTCTTTTGTTGAGCTGTTTTAGATATTACATAAGATAATAAATATAAAATGCTTAGTAAAAATTTTCACTCACAGATGTTGATGGCAACAAGTTGCCAGGAGGATTTCAGTGAGGCAAAACCTCATCAAGAGGACAGTCAGGGAACTATTTCCCTTCAAATAATCTTTTATCTTTGTGGGCTACATATGACCTTCTCTGTTATTATTCTAAAATGGTGCTATTTCATGAAAATATTCTAATAAACTACAAATAAATTTGGCTACTTGAAAAATTATTTGTTGAAGTTTGAAGCATTGCTCAAGTGTTTTGATTTTGTGCAGTTTGTGAAGGTAGAATTATGGACTTACTTTGGATATTATAAATGTGGATCTAAGAACAGCACATCATATCTCAGGGCAAGGTTATGGGACAACAGCGCTGTGGTCTGTCATGGTGCATGGTTTAATTCCAAATCCAGCCTAAGGGTTTCTGCTTTACATCCATGTTTTCTGATTGCGTGTTATTCACAAGAGTT